AGTCATAGAGAAGAAGCTATGACAATAAAATTATGCAATGACTGGCTGTCAAGAAATGTTGGAAGTCTCCAGAAGCCAAAAAACAAAACAAAACAAAAGCAAAAAAACCAAGAAACTTTCTCCTTGAGGAGAACTCCCAGGAGAATGACAACTCTGCTCACATTTTAATTTTAGCTTCCTAAGACCCATTTTGGGCTTTTGACCTTCAGAAACATAAAATAATGATGTTTTACTGTTGTAAGGTACTATTTTGTGGTAGTTTGTTAGCAATGGTAGGAAACTCATGCAATGACAACAGTCATGAGTGTAGTGGCCACAGAGCAGGCATCGGGTGTAACTGGTTGGTAATTCTAATCTGTGATGCCCAGCGTTTCTCAGTATGAGTGCTCTATCTGCTCAAAACCCAGTTTGTTTTTGTTTGGGGTTTTGTTTTTTCCCCTTCAAATATTCAAGGCTTAATAACCTACAACACTGCATCCCTATACATCACTATGGAACTGCAGCTTGGGAGCTTTGTAAATGACCTTGGTTGGACTCATTAATTCCCTGGTGCCTGAGTTAGAGTCCAGGCCCTGGGGAGGTTCTCTGCCAGGATGAGTCATTCTTCTGCAAATCTGCTGTGCTGCCCACTAGCGGTTTCAGTTCAGTCAGTGAAACCTCTGAAGGTTGTCTTGGACTCCTTGAGTCACCAGTCACCTGGGTTAGTGACTGCAATTCTTTAGAGAATACAGAATGCTGTTGAATTATAGTCAAAGGAGGAGGTGCACAAAAGTAACAGTCTAGGCAGAGAGAGAAAGACTGAGGAGTGGGGAGGGGAGCAAGGAGGGGTCTAGCTAGAGACTATTTCTGCTGCCAATGCCGGCAAAGAGAGGTGGCATTTTGTGCTCCTGAGCTAATGATTGCCACCCAAATTCCAACCTTAGTGAGCCCAGCGATGCAATGCCACCATATGTGCCGAGCACACAAATCAGTAAAAAAAAATCAAATTTAGTGTGCCAATTTTAAAAATTAAATTCTTGAAGAACATGGGTCTTACTTTACTTTCAGCTATTTAGTTATATTACCCCGTTTCTTCACCTATATACCAGGGCTTCAGAATATGTTCTTTGTCAAACTTCTACCTGCTTCTCTGGAAAATAAGAGCAATGCAAATATTGAACATCATATCCTGAGCTGGGCACCGTACTAGGCACTTTAAAATTTTAAACTGTGTAAAGCCCATCAGGAATTACCATCATCCCAATTTTAAGGTGAGGAATGTAGGTTCAACCAGAGTTCATGACTTTCACAAGGACTCACTTTTGACAAGGGTCTGGTGTTGCTGCACAGAGAACCTGTCTAGGATCTGGATTCCAGCTCGGGGGCCTTTTTTGTCTTTGGGTTCATATGAGGTTTACTTGACATTTATTTAGTTCCTATTGTATACCAAGTACTGTTCAATGTGACGGATACAGCAGTAAACAAAAAGAACAAAAATTCCTTTTCTCATAGAATTTATATTCTAGCATGTTAGCAAGACTCTGGGTTTCTTTGTATCCTAAGGTATTCAGCAATACATAGCCATCATAACACTCCACTCAGAGAGATGCTTAATTCTGAGCAGCATGCTAGTTGGGGACCTAACTTTGATGCTTAACATAAGCCCAGGGGGAGTTCTGAATTCAGACTTCCTGTTAATTTATATATTTTAACAAGAAGAACTGAATTATGCTTTTGTGGTTCAAGTTTTAATTCCATGATGATTCCTAAGGGGTGTCAGGCAATTGCGCATTTCTGGTGGAATACTTCTGCCTTCTCTTCTGTTCTTTGTAGGCTTGAGCAGCACCAGGCCAAGTCCAGGCAAAGCAGCTGGCACGGATTGGATGTTCCATATATGTTGAATCCAAACTCTACCTAAATGCAGGAATTCCTTGAATTCTTTCATGCGGCAATCCCCACAGCAATCTACACTTCCTGTAACTTATATATAACGTTACTTTTTCATGCTGCCAGAAATGTGAAATTCCCATGAAAATAGTTTCTTACTTTTAATATATTTTAGCAGGCAATGAGTAGAATTGCTACTATAATTTTTGAAGCTCATGGACTTAATGGGGCAGATGAAAATTTCTTGGCAGCTGCGGATATATGAATATCTGAGCTAAAAAGCACTGAGAAGCATGCAAGTCTCCAAGATGGAAATCTTGGAGTAGCCTGCCACCTTCAGGATAACTTGCCAACTAACTCTTACACCAATCCTGGTAAAAACTCTTCATGGTAATCAATGGTGGAAGCTAGGGTCCTTGTAGTACTTTTGCTATGATTAAATATATTTAATAATTGCATTAGTTTTCTTTAAATAAAACTGCCCTTTATTTACTTTGATTCCTTTAAAAAATTATTACTTCAATTTGATTATCTTTACATGACCTCTTTTCTTGCCTTTAACTGATCAAAAAAGCAAAAAACCCCTTCATTTTGCTGAGCAGATCTGGGAACACCAAAAACAGATCTTTGCAGCCACAGTCTGAAAAATACCGTAGCTCTGAAAATCCTGATACTTCCTGGTAGGCTCTTTAATTATGATTAATGACAATATTTCTGAAAAACCCAAATAAAATCAGCGACAGTAATTCATTCAGAGTGAGGGGAGGGAGAGAAGAGACGGGAACAACACTGTGGTTTTTTCTAATGTCTTATTGACTGTTCCTTTTAAGTTATAAGGAGGTTTCCCTGGCTCCAAAAAAATGAGTAAGGCAAGGAAAATGGGAATGGCGCGGTGACTCAGCCCTTAATAGTATGGACCAATTAGTATCAAAAATAAAGAGAAGAGAAAAGGCTGCGTAAGTGAAATCGATAAAATTAAGTCAAATGAGTTACAGCAGCGGGATGTAAAAAAATCAAGAAAAAGAGAGCACTGTGGCTCAGAAAAGCATCAGGCAAGGGGACAGGAAAAAAGGGGGCATTTAAATAAGAGTGACAAAGAGCAAACAGCCATCGCATATGAACGAACACACGTTCACTCCGTTCCTGCCCCCAAAGCGGGAAAGGGCATTTTTCGAACCCCCCTTTATCGGGGTGCAGCTACTTCCATTTTCATTGGCTCCTCTTTCGGTGCATCGACCTGCGAAAGGACTTCAAGGTCAACTTCCCCACGACTTTCGCGACTCGGCCCGCGACTCTGGGGTCACGTGGGGAAGCGCGAGCCAATGCGGGGGACTCACTCCGAGGAACCGAATCCTGAAGCCCGCGCGGCCGGGGAGCGCGTGGAAGCTCCCGCGCGTCCCC